TTCGCTCGATGCCGCCAGCCTCGCAGAATATGCCGGGCCCCCCTGGCGTTGCCTCGGGGTTCACAGGTTCACTAGGCTCTCCGGGGCCGCCTCGAAGGCATTCTGAGACTCCCCCGCGCGTGAACAGGAGTTCCTGGGGCCCGAGGGGGAGGGGGCCAGCCTACTTTTGCCCCGACGCATTCAAGTTACAGTTAGATTCTTCTTGCTGCATCAAAGCGAGCCGCGACCACGAATAATCGCGGGAAGACAATGGCCACAAAATGGCGTCGCAGGGGGCTCGCTTCAGCATAGACCAGAGACCAGCGGTAGGATGAGCGGCGGGGTTCATAGATGGAGCGGGTGAAGACACATCTCTTTTTACTGCCGCTCTGGTGAGAGGGGGGCGGAGGAGGAGGCGGAGGAGGAGGAGGGGGGGGGGGCGAGGCCAGCCGTTCACCTCGCGCCCCGCTCGCGCCACCCACCCACCCCCCGGTTGCGCCGGAGGGCGGGGTGAGCAGGGGGGGGGGGGGCGAGACGACGCACTCGTTCGAGGCCGAGGGGGTGTCTGAGGTAGGGTGCCGAAGGCCTCGCCCGGGTATCTTTGTTTTGAAGGCGCCTCGTCCTCGGGTGAGTCGTCGACGCCCCCCTCCACCTCGTCCTCGAATCGTTCGCCCCCCCCCGCTCCTCCGCGCCCTGGGCCCAGGTCTGCGCCGCCGTTCCCACGCCCGACGACCTCCGCATCTGCGTCCCCGACCTCTTGCCAACGGCTCGCGGTTTCCTCAGCGTGCTGGGCGACGGCGCGGACCTGTTCCAGCAGTTGCCCAACATGTTCACCGACGCCGAGGCCATGGCTGCAGTCGACGACGACGTGCCAGCCGCGCAGGACAGTCGGGCTGGAACTGGCAGGGGGGACGGCCGGGCGGGCACCCCGCTCTCGGCATTTCGGAGTTAGGGAGTCAGGTTCGAAGGAGGAGGGAATCTGCTAAATATATAGAATTTCCATTAAAACAGCCGTTGCCCTGCGAACTCCTGCGAATGGCGCCCCCCCCAGAAATTAATTCCCGTCGAGGCGGGAATTGCAATTCGCAGGGCCCTGCGAACTCCTGCGAATAGCGTGCGTTTTGAAATTGAATTAGATTATTTAAATAGATCCTCGGATAATCCACGGGACCAGTGGGCATCGTCGGGGTCGGGTCGGGGGCTCCGTTCTGGCCCATGCAAGGAGGACCCCGTCGTCGCGGCGGGCGGCCAGACCGATGGCGGGGGCGCCTTCGAGACGCCTCGTCGGCTGCGCCCCCGGACCTCGTGGGTCCCAGAGAACAAGCTGCAGTTCCTTGTGACCGAGTTCCTGGGCCAGCTGCACGGCGGCGATGAATCGGCCTTCTTGCTCGCAGTGAGCAACCTGCCCGCGGTGTTCGGGGACGGTTGGATCTCGACCTGGAGTCTATGCGCGGGCACGGGCATTATGCATCACGTGCTGCAGGCCTTCTCCGCCGTCCTGGTGAACGAGTACGGGATCGACGCCAGGTTCTCCACCGACCTCGTTGCCGAGCATGACGGCCGCAAGCTGGATCATCTGTTGACGGAGGTGGCGCCGCGTTTCGCCGCCAGGAAGATGGAGGACCTACTGCAGGGGGACGTTGCCCTCAACGTCGCCGACCCGCGTAACCCGTGCAAAGAGCAGCTGCCGGCCGATGTGATGTTCATCGACGCAGGCTTCCCTTGCGTCTCCCGCACGCCCCAGAGCTCACAGGCCAGCTCCAATGTCAACTGCGTCCAGAAACAGACCAGCACGACAGGGCAAGCATTCGCGACGGTCTTGGCGGCCGTGGATCGGCACAAGCCTGTGATGCTCACGCTGGAGAACGTGAAAGGCTTGGGGAAGAAGCTCCCCGGCTCACCCAGCGATCAGGAGTGGATCTGCCAGCAGTTCCAGGAGCGTGGCTACTGGGCGGTCTCCATGCAAATGGATGCCAGGGAGTACGGCTCGCCAGACGTGGAGCGCGTTCGGCTGTGGTGGGCCGCTGCTCGTGACCTTCGCGGCGATCCAGAGACCATCACCGCCTTCTTCAAGAGGATCCTCCTGAGCTTTCGCCACAAGGCGCATGTCACCATCGACGACCTTGTCACTGTGGACGACGTTCAGCGCACTCAGGAGGCTACCTGCCTGGGCATGTCCACGCACGCGGAGGACGGCCAGAAGGACACATGCAAGAAGGAGAATGATTGGAAGGTGGAGCACTACGACTACTACAAGCTGTGGAAGTTGCAGTGGCCAGCGCCGCCAGCGCTCCTTGAGCCCATCAGGGTTGGTGGCCTTCTGCCTCGCGAGCGCGACGCTGCTGCTTTCCTCCAGGCTGCTTTCCCGCAGCGGAATCCCATCGAGTACCTTGACATCAACATGTCGCTCAAGCGCATCATGACGCCGCTCTTGGATGAGGATAAGGGGGTGCTCAAGACGCCGGGCAGCTCTCCGTGGAAGACGGACATGCCTACTCTCACGGGCTCTTCGAGGTTTGTCGTTCGGTCGGGGAATCCCCCGAGTGTGCGCTTGATGGAAGGGTTCGAGTGCATGCGGATGATTGGCTGGTCGGATGAGTTGTGGAAGCCCCACGTCGACCGCGTGGACCCCGACACGTCCGTGAACCACAAGCGCTACAACGAGCTCCTCATGGAGATGGGGGGCAACGCGTACGCGGTGTGGCACGCCATGCCGTGGGTGATGGCCCTGTCGGCGACGGTGGGGAAATTCGGGGGGAGCTCCGGCAACAGCGACGGCGGGGACAGCGAGGACGGCGTCTCCCAGGAGCTGGACTTCACGGAGAAGGCCGTCGACCCGCTGAGCCCAGGGTCGGAATCGAGCGACTGAGGTCGCTCGCTGCTGACTGGCAGGTAGGCGCCCGAGCCGCCGCCGCATTTTTTCTTCTCGGCACTCGCCCCCCCCCCCCTCCCCTGCGTCGGCTCGGAGCCGCAGAATCCACAGCGGGCGCTTCTAGGTTGTCATGGCGCCGCGTGCGGGTCCATCGGGAGGCCCAGCCCAGCATGCCCCACCCCCCCCAAAAAAAAACGACACGCACGCACACGCACAGTGCGCACTCACACACGCGCACAACAACCCGCAACCCGGGGAGGTAAGGTTCACGAGTGGGGGCATCTGGGCTGCCCAGGACTTTGAAAGATTCTGCCGCCTGCTCAGTAATCGTTTTTTATTTTTGGGGAGTCGCTCGTGGGCGTGCTGGCGCAATGTGGGTGCTGCGCAGTCCCGCGGTCCGCGGCGCGTTTCTCCCTCGCCCGCCCTCGCAGCATGCTCGGCTGCGCTTCTCTGCCGCGTCTTGCTGGGCGGTGGGCGGTCCGCTACAGTCAGTGAGTTTGAGTGAAACCTTTGCCTCCGATGGGCCCAGTTGAAGTTGAAATCGTCGCACGGAGTCGCACGCCGCTCCATGCTCCCCCCGTGTCTCCTGCGTCCTCTAGCTTTTGAAATGGCTAGTGACTAGTGTCCAGGGTCAGGGCCAGCCCGCGCGCCCCGCGGCCCGCAGGCCCCTCCCCCTGGGCTCCCCTTCTCGGAAGTAGCTTGCCTCTCCTCGAGGAGGTCGCGGCCGTCGCCATTTGAAGCCATCCTGCCTCCTGCCGCTTCAGAGCCTCAGACCTCTGAGGCCTCAGAGGCCTTCTTGGAAGCCGCGCCTTCGCCCCCGCCCCCGCCCCCGAGGGAAGCCCGTTTAGCAGGTCACCAGCCACCTGACCACCAGAGCCTAGCAGAGGGGGCTGGTGCAACAGAGGAGTGCGTCTAGCACCACCAAACCGAAGATGGGGAAATACCGTGCCAATCACAAGATTGGTACGCTATTTCCCCCTCCTCTCTGGGCTGGTCTGCGTTTGCTCGTGCTTGCGTCGTCGTTTGATTTGCCCGAAGACGACAGAGCACCAATCCGAAGAGGGGGAAATACCGTACCACTCACAAGATTGGTACGCTACTTCCCCCTCCTCTCTGGGCTGGTCTGCGTGTAGCGTTTGCTCGTGCTTGCGTCGTCGTTCCTTTGCCCGAAGACGCCAGAGCACCGGGGCACCAGACCACCAGAGCTCAGAGCACCAGAGCACCAGACCACCTTAAAGACCACCTGACCATCCGACCACCTAACCACCATACCTCCAGACCGACCACCAGACTTAGAAAAGCTTCAACATGCAAACGCTGTTCAGGCGCGTGGCCGCTGCGGGCGTGACTGGATGGCGTGGCTCTTTCGTCGCCGACGTCGGTGCGCCTCGAGATCCATGCCAGGTCGGCCCTGATTACGCTGCGCCGCGGCGCTCGCCCTTGGCGCATTGGTTGAAAATGTGGAGGGGGCCCAGGGATGTTCGAGCACCGCGTTATCTCGGATGCCCTCCATCGCGGCTGCGGCCATCAGCCCGCGCGGCCCGTGCCCCGTCGCAACCGAGATCGCCCCGCCCGCTCCGCCCCCCCCGTCCCGCGGCCATCCATCCTCGAGCTCTGTGGTGGCAACTTCAAGCACGCACGCGCGAGCTGTGCTCGCTCTTTCACATCCGAATCGAATCTCCCAGATTCTGCCCCGGACCTCGGGATCGGCGCGGCGCCATGCCCAAGCAGAGCATGGACTCGAACCACCTCCGCGATATGGAGGGGGCCTTTCAAGGTCGCGGCCCTCCGCGCTCCAGGAGCGGCGGCAGCCGCAGCCGCAGCGGCGCCGAGAGCGAGACCATGGTGGTGCGCAGGCTTGCGGGCGGAGAAGAGCTAGAGGCCAGAGGATAGAGGGGGGGGGGCTAGCGGCGGGGGCAGGTGCCCGCCAGAACATCGGGTGCTAACGGCCTGGAGGAGGCTCGAGCTCGGCGGGGGGGGGGGAGGGCGGGCGGCGAGAGCGGAGGAACGAGGAAAGGGGGGGGGCGGAGAGCGCGGAGAACAGGGGGGGGCAGGAGGGGGGGGAGGGAAGAGGAGGAGCAGGACGAGGGAGGAGGAGCAGGCAGCACGCGGAGGATCAGGAGGAGGGGGAGGAGGACGACTGGGGGCGATGCCCGACTTGCCCAGGCCAGACGGGCGCAAGTGCGTCACGTGCCCGCGCCGGGACAACGACCTCGACCCTCGCGACCTCGCGAAGGGCAAGCGGGTCTTCATGTCCTGGGGCCGCCCTTGCGACACGCAGGGCAAGACGGTCGGCAACCACTGCGGGTACTGCATGCGGTGGTTCAACGGCAACCTGAAGCAACTCCCAGGGATGACCTTGACGATTTTCAAGCAGCAGCTCGGGGCCCACACCGCCCGGACGGAGGCCTTCGGCCTGATTCTGGACAAGATGATCCAGGAGATGATCGACGAGGGCATCGACGAAGGCACCCGCGCCCGCATGGATTGGGACAAGATACACGAGTCCATTTTGGAGCAGGTCATGATCAAGGAGTCGGTGAAGACGGGCCCTGGGAAGACGTTCTTCCCGCATAAGAGCTATCTCAGAGTGCACGGCGACTTCGGCACGAACGGCTTGGCCGAGAAGGACGGGCACTACGAGGGGGAGGACGAGAATGGCGTGGCGGGGATATGGGTCCCTGATGTGGAGTGCACTCACTACGGCAGGAAGGAGCGCCAGCAGGTCGTCAAGACCGTGCGGCTGGGGCAGGGGCCTGACGAGTCGGTCGCCCAGAAGCAGGCCCGCGTGGCCGACATGCTGTTCCCCGGCATCCTGGCCACGCTCAACCTCGACGGCGCCATCGACCAGCTCTTGGGCACCTCGACCGCAAGCGGCGGCCCGTCCACCCTTGGGGCCCCAGCTCGCCCTGCCCCAGCCTGGGCCCCAGCGCAGCAGCAGCCGCAGGGCTCGGGCTCCCGCAGCGCCGGCGCTGCTGGCCCGCCCGACGCAGGCGCCGGGCCGCCGCCTGCGGCGTCGGCATCGGCCCGCCCCTCCCGCGGAGCTGCGGGCGGCGCCAAGGGCACCCCCGCCGCTGCGGGCCTTGTCGGCGCGGTCGGCGGCTCCGCCCCCGCAGCGGCGGCGCCTGCAGCAGCGGCGCCGAAGAAGCGCGGGCGCAAGCCAGCTAAGGACCTGATCAAGGAGACCACAGACTTGGAGATGAGATTTTTCACGTCGGAGCCCAATGACGCCCTCATTTGGGGGAGTGAACAGGACACGCAGCTCAAGCTCAACGACGATCTGGCGAAACAGTTCCCGACGAAGCTGCGCGGCATCACAAACGAGGAGGAGCATCGCGTGTACAAGATGGCTGAGAAGAAGCTCTCCGTGATCACGACCCTGATGCGGATCGCGGGGCTGTCTGGAGACGAGCTGCGCTCCAAGTGGGCGCGGGCTCGAACCGACTGCCGCGAGGGACGGGCGCAACAGTGGTCTGGGACTGACTTGGGGCGAGGGGCGCTGGAACATGCCCCGCTGGGCCTCCGGGGGCCCACGTGGGGGGGGGGCGCCGGGGCTCGGCGCATGCCACCCCCCAGCCTGCGGGTCCACCCTCTGAGGCCCTCTCCCCTCTCCCTGTCCCCCGTCCACTGCTTCTCTCGACGCTCTCTCTGCTCTCTCGACGCTCTCTGGCCCTCGCCCTGGGTGTCCCAGCCCGCCGTTGCACGGCTCGTCTCGAGCGGCCGCCGAGGTACGACATCGCCATGACCGCCCTCGCTCTCGAACCAGTGGTGGACTTGAACATCCCGCCGCACTTGCGCTGGGCCAGGCAGAAGGTTGACATTTCCAGGGTCGAGGACCCCAAGATGTTCTTCAACCTCATCTCCAGCAGTGCGATGCGCAAGCTCGGCCTCAGCTCCTCGAGCATTGCCGACGAGCAGGAGCAGCTAATTTCGGATCGGTTGTCTACGTGCCTCCGCATCAAGTCCGACAGCAAGCGCACTGCTGCGCTCCAGGCACTCGCGGCAGACGACGACGACATGATCTTCGACCTCGAGCCGGGGCCGTCCGAGTGGTGGGCAGCGTTCCAGGTGATCTACAGCGCCAAGACCGCCACGCACGAGTCCGTCGAGGTGCTCTCGGACATGCTCACAGAGGCGATCGACGTGATTAAGCCCACGCTGCCGCAGAAGGGCCGGGGGGGAACCTCGCTGGGCAGTGCGCTTGCCATGTGGCCCGCAGGCATCGGAGGGGGGAGATGCGACACCAACACCACCAGGGGGCCCACCTCCAGCGAGGAGGTCCACGATGCCTCCCCGAGCTGGAGGCTGGGGATGTCTCGAGCGAGAGGGGGGGGCGGGGGGCCACGCCACCAGGGAGACCACCCCTTGCTCACCGCATCTCCTCGCCCTGTTGGTGTTGGTGTCGCCTTTCCTTGTTCCTACAGGCAAGGTCATCATGCTGGATGCCGAGGAGCATCTCAAGCGGGCCGGCGCTACCATGCAGGCCATGGGGCCGTTCTTAGAGAAGGTGGAGGGCCTCGCAGTGAGCATCGCCAGGTGCCTGCCTGATATCTTCTCTTGCGAGCGCCACTGGCTGGACGACGCCGTGGGCGCGATGCTGGCGGTCACCACGTCCCTCGAGTCTTTATCTGACTGCCTCCCTGAGTTCACTCCTGACGCGGATGACCACCGGATCGTCGGCGCCGTGACCAAGTGGGTCGACTTCTTGAACCAGGGGTGGTCCCACGTGCTGTCGCCTGTCCTGACGCGGACTTTGACTGGCCCAGCGTTGGCGCAGTGGGTCCAGGACTCGGCCGACCGTCGCCACGTGCTCACGACGTACACGAACACCACCCTCAAGTTCAAGAGCATGATCCCGAAGCTTGCGAGCCAGATCGCAGCGGCGTCGCAGCTTTGCAACATCGGGGAGGCGTTGAGCCGCTGGCATTCGCTGTCTACCGCGTCGAATGCATCTTCCTTCACCGCCGGCGACTTCAAGTCCATTCTGTCCGTCATCGCGTCCAGCATGAAGCCCATCCACGAGGGTGCCGCTTGTCATTTCGAGGACGTGAGCGCGCCGCTGCATGTTCTTGAGTCGCCTGCGATGGACCCGCAGGGGGACATCATGATGCGGATGATGGAGGCTGCAAATCAGACGAGTGGCGTGATCTTGAACCCGATGGTGAACCACACCCTCACAATCCTTGGCGCAGCTTGCAGCGACAAGCCATGGTCGTGCACTTCTCTGGACGAGTCCACGCTCCAATCCATCGTGGACGCGAAGACCCCCGAGTCGATCCCGGAGGCCCTGCGGTTCGCCGCTGACCTTGGCGATGCGCTCTTGCACCACCAAGTTGCCTTTGCCGCTGCGGCGACGCAAATGTTTCAGAGCTTGTGCGCTGTGCAGCTCCGGAAGTTCGCCCGCGCCAAGGCCACGAGTTTCAAGGACCTGCTCCTGGGGGGGGACGATGTCACGCGGTGGAGGGTAGTGAACGCCCGCTGGAAGAACTTCGAGAAGCTCGAGGTTGCTGGGGGTCCAAGCGGGCGCCCGTTGATGGATGACTTTTGCCGCCGCGCGTGCCCCTCCACCTCGCCCCCAGGGCCCCAGGGGGGCCCCAGGTCAGGCCCACCTCTCCCGCCTCCCTCTCTCCGCCGCCTCCTTCCCTCGCCCCTCGCCCCCCCTGCCCTTGTCCTCCACCGTGACCGTCGTCCTGGTCGTCCTCCACCGCTCGCCCTCTCTTCTCTCTCGCCGCGCCCCCTCATCTCTAACCCCGCCCCCTCCTCCCCGCTAGCCCTGCCCCCGCTGCCCCGGCCCTCTGTCCTGCCCCCGAGTGCGCGGCGGCAAGGGTGGCGCCGTCAATGCCGCTCGCTTGGCGTCGCCAGTAGGTCGACCACATGGTGTCTCAGGGTGGCAGTGCGACGCGCTTCCACATGTCCCTGATGGACAACCGCCTGAAACCGAACGCGGTCCTGGAGAGCTTGGCGCATGACCTGGCGGCCTTGCAAAAGGAAATGGCCCAGTACATCCACGACGACCTCGAGGCCATCGCGGGGAACTTGGACGCCAAGATGCCCGTCTATTCGGCCAGCTCCATCCTGGACAGCCCCACGGCGATGCAGCACGTCATGGACGCAGACCACGGCAGTTTGACGACGGTGGGCCTGGCGCTGCAGCACGAGCTGAGGTTCGCGAAGGTGCTTTCCAAGGACGGCCTTCCGATCGAGGCGGCGCGCGTCTCGCGCGCGGAGGCGGCCTCGGACGCCGCCCTTGCGACGGTGGCTATTGCAGCGGTGCTCATTTGCACTGAGCGCGAGTGGCCGGAGAAGAAATTCACGGACCTCGACGCGTGCCGGGCTGCCGTGAAGACGCTGCGCAAGGACATCGCCCGCACGGGCTGGACTCCCACCGACCAGATCGAGGAGCTCCTCGTCGCGTGGGAGTCGGGCCTGCACCTGCGCGGCGAGGCCGAGGAGGCCTCGGAGGCGGCGGCGGCGGCGGCTGCGGGCGCCAGCGGCGCTGGCGCTGGCGGCAGCGCTGGCGAGGACCCCGGGGCGGCCGCCGCCCCCAAGGACGCGGGCCGGGGGTGGCGTGCTTTGCTGATGTTGGGAGGGGCCATGCGCTTGCGACCCATTTCTGGCGGTCGAAAACCCAATTCCCACACGGGGCGCTTGCGTGTGGGAATTGCGTTTGGGCTCAATAATATCATATGTTTTGCTGGTTTATCTCAAACAGATCGGAGGCGCGGGGCCCTGGCGGCGGCCCCGGCGGCCCTGGCGGCGGCCCCGGAGGCGGCCCCAGGCTCGTCCAAATTTGGGGTCCTGGGCTGCCCCCCGATGGGGGGAGGGAGGGGGACTGAACTAACTAACTAACTAACTAAGCGTCGGAGGAGGAGGAGGGGGGCAGGAGGGGGAGGAGGAGGTCGGAGGAGGAGGAGGAGGAGGAGGAGGCGGAGGAGGAGGCGGAGGTGAGGCAGGAGCATGATGGGGAGGCGGCGCAGGAGCCTGTGGAGGGTGAAGGGGGCGCGGCCCCCCCCGAAGGAGACCCAGCTGCCCGCGGCGGCCGAGCCCGGCAGCAGCTCGGCGTCGGGCGCCTTCCCTGAGCCGGGCCGCTCGGCGTCGCCATCCTCGCCTTCGCGTCCGCGGCCGCCGCCGCCGGCGCAGACGCAGCGC